GCCACCATCGAGCCATCGAGCAGACAACGCGAGTCCCAAGGATAGAGTTGCCTGCAACATTAATTTTCACATGTCCTTATTTTTGTTTTTTTTTTACATAATTAGAAAAGTAATTATCTTTTATTTTTTATTACATCTCATATGTATATTATATTATTTAAATTTAAAATTTTTATTTTTAACAAAAAAAATCATTAAATTATTTAAATTGTAAATTTTTTCATTTTATTTTATTTTTCTCATTCAAGTGCATTTTATTTTCTAGTGCTAACTTTGCCGCAATCGTACCGACACCGAACTACCAAGCTGCTGGTTAAAAAGGTGCACCTAACCTCCAAGCAAGCTACCTTGTTAAAAAAATGTGGGACTAGTGGGCTGTTCGGCAGATCTTAAAATCCCAGGTTCAATTTCCCCTACCAAATATATTCTTTTTATTGAACAGTGGGAATTGAGGAATCGGGAGGAATAGTTATAATAATATTGCAGTTATAGGTTGAATCCTTTAAATGGAGGCTCAGGTCATTAGTGCACTTCCATAGCAGTTAATCCCACAAGTGCCGCTCCCAAATAATTTGTAATCGCTGAAAAATTTTAAAAATAATAATAATAATAAGTGATAAGCAACTTATTTTTTAAAAATTATATATTTTATAGTTATTAATTGAAGATAGCATTTTAAATGTAAAATGATCACTCCTTCATTAATAATTAATGTTTTAGAGTTTAATACAAACTAAATCATAAAATTGCTCTCTTTTAAAAAATATATACGAGCACGTCCAACCATGTGTCTTTGGTGTAATGTGTCTATCTTAGTATCTTACGCAATTTACACATTTTATAACCATTTAGGAGAAACAAGTCTTTTAAACGTGGGGGGTCCCTTATTTTTTCATAATCAATGTTTTATAATCTAGTGTAAATATCAATAATCTGTTAGTTTAAGTGTAAAAAACTCGATTCTCTTAAGTAAAATTTCGAATTTAAATCTTATAAATAAAAAAACAAATATTAAGAGAACTTCTTTTAACGAGATTCAACTCAATTCGATTTTAAATTAATCAAAATTTAATATAATTATCAGATATCGATACGTTAATAAAAAAAAAATTATCTGGTGTAAATACAACCACAAAACCACTTTCTTTACAATAAATACCAGCAGCGCCTAACCATGTCTTTGTGGTGTTTTTTCTTTTCCCCTTTTCACTCTTCGCCAAAATTTTGGTTTTTGTTTAGCCCTACCATATATTATTGCCGCCAACAATACGAAAGATCATTTATTGTAGGAAGTTAGCATAAGGAGTTCGTGAATTTTCTGTTGCTTTTCCTCTGCAGTAGTGGATTACCCAAAAAGAGCCAAAAGAAACATGGAGATTCCTCACTACTTCTCATTTTTTCTTTGCAGGCCCACCCATAAAGAAGTCCGGAGTCCCTTTTCTCCATTTCAAAATGTTTAATCAACCATGTTCTTGCACATACACAACAATGCAAGCAATTTATGAGCTTTTCTTCGTGGGTACAAAGGAAAAAAGAAAAGAAACTTCAAAGCATATAACCAATATATTATTCATAAACAAAAAAGAACAGTGTTTACTGTTCAGAAAAAAAATCAATTCAGACAATTAAAATTCTTAGTAGTAATCTATAATTGTCAGAACTGATTTTTTTTTTTTTCCAAGAACAGAACAACACTGTTCTCTAAAGAAATATCCTATTACACATTGTAACGTCCATATGTCCCCGTTATTCTTTGCTAATGCTAGGTGTATCCTATAAGGATGGGGCCATCCAATTCCCCATCTCTTCCTTAGCCTCAGCCATCTAGCTGAGCAGCCTGCACTTATGGACCCTCCACAACCAATTGGGGTAAGGTCCTTTTCCAGCCTATCCTCTGCCCCGAATAATTACAACACCATCATAAATATGAAAAGAATGCCTTATTCAGTACTTTCAACCACGCCAATAAGATGGTCATTGTTTTGCATTTCAGATTTTATCTATACAATAATTTTTTTATATATAAAAAATACTTATAATTTTTTTTTAAAATTATCCTTATTTCCTCATTTTTTATTAAAAAAAAATGCTATTATCTCCATAATCCCATTTTTACCCTGACTTACCTCTTTTCATTTCCACTTGTACTCTGGCTGTTCTTGCTCTTTGAACCTCTTCAGCACACCATCAATGGCGATATCAAATGCATCCTTTATGGTCTCCAAACCTTGATTTGGTTTTGCATACACTAATTTCGGTATGTAATCAATCACTTTCTCCCGCATTTTCCACACCTCTTTTTTACTGTACTGTTCCAGTACTTTTTTCACCGAAGTCCCGTTTTTTACATCGTTGCGGTGGATAAAAACGGAGTAACTGCGGGGATCCCCCGGTAAAAACCACTCGTACTGGAAATACGCCGTCCGGTGCCAGAAGAACACCGGGATCGAACCGGCCACCATGCAGTCGAATATGGACCGGCGGGTGAAACTGTCGCCTCTGGGTTGTAAGCAGAAATCCGAGTCCAGAAACGTTTCGAGGATGGCGGATGTCCCGTTGGTGCACCGGGTGCCGGCGCAGTTCACGACACGGCAGGAAGAGGACTCGTTCTTGCAGTGGCTGAGGAGGATGCCGCGGAAGTCGTTCTTGATCTTTCTACGCGTCGCGCCCGCGAAGCAGAAGAGGGTGGAGCGGTGGCGGCTGCGGACGTAGTCTTGCCAGTGGAGAATGTCGGCGTCGGATCTGGGGTGGAATCCGGTGGGGTAAGGTACACCCACGTCGAAGTAGTCCCAGGGGTTTCGCTCGATCAAGAGGCGGGTGATGTTTCGCATGCCGGGCATGTAGATGCAGCTGGATCCCCAGTCATCGTCTTTCGACCGTCGGAAGTCCCACGTGATGCGCCCCATCATGATGAAATGATCCCAACCGTTTGATCGGTTCCAGTAGGGCTGCCCCTGAACCCACCTCAGCACCATCTCGCAGTACCGATCACGGTCTTTGGCCGTGTAATTGAACCACAAGTATTTCCCCACCGCAAGTCCCGCGTAAAACGGAATGTAGTACCCGGTGGCAGATTCCGCCTCCATCGTCCTGCACTTGTGGTTCAACATCCGATTGTGGAAAATCAGTTCCGACGCAAACTGGTCCGTCCAGTACCACGCCGGAATCAATTCCTCCGGCACGATTCCGGCCAACCCCGTCGCTCTCTTCCCCAATCCCTCATTCGATAAAGCAGCACACTTTGAACTCCATGGGCTCAATTCATCGCATTTCTCTATGAATTCCCGATTGAATTCAGGTGGCAAGTCGTAAACAAAGATGCGTCCAAATGAACATTGGTCCGAGGATGAAAAGTTCGTAGATTGATCTGGGTATGAAATGTTAGCAGCTGATTTGAAGAGGAGATAGTTGGGGTAAGGAGAGGGGAAGTGGGTACGGCGGGTGGACAGTGGGAGTGACTTTGTCATGAGGAGAAGAACGATCTGAAGGAAGAGGACGGAGAAGATGAGCCATGACAAGGGGTTGTATGGAGAGAGATAAGGTTGAAGAAGTGAGTGGAGGGAGTTGCTGGAGTTTTTCTGGTGATCAATTAGCGTTTGCTCAGGGGATTTGGGTTTCCTTTGGGGTTCCGGGGAGTCGGAGATGGGCAGCATTAAGCTTGTGGAGAGGAGTAATTGTTCTCAAGATTTTCCGGAGGAAATTGACCGGAAAAAATGGTAAAGCTGCTGCCAGGCGAGGGTATAGTATGGATAGTGAGTGAGGGGTGGGGGGATCTTTCTTTGCAATTTTCAGGCATGGGAATGCGTGTTGAATAGTGTTTCGGGGTAATAGATTGGGGTGGAGGGATGGTTGATCCGCACGCGACGTTGGGTTACAGGCTGAAGAAAGTTACTCAATAACGATCACCGACTGTTAGTCTGAACGGAACTGAACGGAACAAATTCGATTGTTTTTAAATAAAATTTTTAGTTTGAATATCATATATAAAAAAATAAATATAAAGAGAATTTATTTTTTATATAATTTAATTTTAAATTAATTAAAGTTTAGTATAGTTATGAGATATTAAAATTAATAAAATAATAATAATAATAACAGACAGTGCTTAGAAAAATGGGAATAATGCACACGTAGCGGTTCTAATGGTGGACACGGACAAAAGTTTCTTTTTTCGCTGTTCGACTATTTTACCCCTTGTCTTTTCTTACTTTTCTATCAACTCCAGCCCAGGCCAGTCTGCAAGCGGAGTTTGTTTGGACGCACTTTCTTTCCGTCCTGTGCTTATGTGACTTTTCTCTCTATAATTCTATTTATATATTTTTACTTATTAGTGTTATAATAAAAAATAATACTTGATTGTG